GGCCCCGGCCCCGGCCCCGGCCCTCAGCCCGCCGGAGAAGGAGCCGCCGCTCCTCGCCGGCCCTGCCCCGGCACCCGCCTCCTAATAAACACGCTCCGTCCCCCCTCGGAAGCAGCGGCATTTCAGAGGCTGATAGCTCAAGGGTGGAACACGCAGAATTTGGCAGCTTTGGGCCGGTACGGGCGTCTGCCGGAATGAAGAATCATCGAAATTGAAGGATTTATCAGCAGTTTGCCAAAAGATACTGATGCAATAGTTTTCCCGGTGCAGCTTGTAATGAAAACAGTGAACTCGCTCTCCCCATGCGCAGTAACAGAAAAATGGGCAGAAAAAGGTTAAAACAAGGGGATCTCCAGCATAAGTGTAATTAATCCAAAGTTTGTGCAACTGCTCTTCAACCTTTCTGCTCCTGGGTCAATGCCACTGAAGTTCTAAAGCCCTTCACCCCTCGCTTTGCTCCTGAGAGAGCCCCTTGTCACGTTGTCTCGTTCTTACCTGCAGTTCGTACGTCGTCCAGGGGCTCCCTAACAAAATTCGGCCTGCTCACTGGGGATCGTAACTCGTTTGTCAAGAGCAGGTAGCTTTTTATACAACGCTTACTACGGGTTATTTTTAAACGTCATCCCTCGCACAGGAACGCAGGTGCTTCACCGGCTGAGGAGTCTACTGAAACTCCTGGTGGCTACTGAAGACGAGGACCTGCAGAGCAGATCCGCTGCTTCTGCTCCGCCATTGCTCCGCCAGTGCCGCCTCAGGTAGAGAACGCGACGCCAAATTTCCTTCCCGCAGCTAAGCTGGCTCGTGCCGAAACCCAGGCACGCTCTCCAGTGACCTGGCTGGGATGTCATCCATCCGTCACCGGATCGGTGGTGCGTGGCATTTCCATCATCAAATCCACGTGCAAAAAAAATACCTTCTCAAAGTGGTTGTGATTTTACCAAAGTACTGTTCCAGCAGTTTTGGTTTGGTTCCATTTGTTGGATTAATATACACCACCCCCTCGCCCCGATCCAAAACATTAAAAAAAAACCAGAAGTTTTGAAATAACTTTTGCTTCTTCATCAGTATAGACAAATCAGTATTTCCCTTTTCTGTGTGTCACAGCTCTTCCAAATAAAAGGTGTATTTAATCAGAAAATAAATGTATCAATGTCTAAATGCACCTATTGATCTACAGAAGGCCTTCCTTTTCTGCTCCCCCTCCAGTCTTTGACAATAAATAAATAAATTCTAATCTTCTAGAGAATTTTTTTCCCCCCTCTATGTAGAATACATGAAGTTTCCCTTTGATGTTTTAAAAATAAACTAATCGGTGATACTGACAACTGTTGCTATTAATTTGAGGCTTATACTCATTCTTGCAATCACTCCTTTTGAACAGAAAAAGGATAATCAATCCTTTCACTGTCTGCGTTTCACACACTAGGAAAACACTATTGTGTTCCAGTTACCATTACGGTAGGAAAATATTTAGGACCCTTCTGTTTTTTCTCCCACTCTTAAAAAAGTGACATCTGGTTTGCTGCAATTAAGGAGAAATGCAAATGCACACACACAAGTAATAAAAGCTCGAAACGTACATTTTGTCACTGCTATTTGACAGCTGTGGCGGTAACCTTTGAAAGAAACCCTCTGCTGAAAAACACTTAAAAAAATTTTGAGCAATGCAATTTTTCAGAAGACCAGGGTCAGGTTGAAGCTTCTGGTTTATGTTGTGCAGAATGCATACCTTGGATTGGGTCCTAATTTCTCAAAATATGAAAAGATTTTAATTTCTTGAACAAACATTTCTTAGAAGTGGTAAGAAACACCAAATTCATCCTGCTTTCCTAAATACAGAGTCTCAAAACCTTTATGTTGCCAAAGGCTTGACGTAGGACTTAACTCCTTCTAGAAGCTGATCCTACAGAGGTCTCCACGAAGTCTCCATCCCACTGGTACGGCTGGAGCTTTCCCCGTTTGCACAGACCTGGCCATGGCGAGGTGTTGCTTTGCCGTCGCTTGTGCTGTCCGTGCACCAGGTTGATCAGGAGCCGCAGGAGCCAGGAGACACAACCAGGCTACTGCTGACTGACTGTTCCTTTCCAGTGTTCATGTGAATCGGGCCTTAGTTTTCCATGCATATCTTCTAGTAAAAGTATCCACGTGAAAGAGGAAGGTACCAGAAATCATGGGTTTATACTTGGAAAAAAAAAAGGTCTTTGTGGCAGCTGCTGTCCGCAAGTGCTTGGCGTGCCTTGGCTACTTTGGATCAAGGAGTATGCTGCCTACTTAAGGACAGATCTAGAAAGTGGTAACAGGAGTTAAAACTCATTTAGCATACTCGTTTATCAATTTTGGTTTTGCAGCTGTGGAAAAAGAGAACATTTGGGGGATTTTTTTTTTTTTTTGATTGATATTGAAAAATGAGATTGCAAATTCCCCCCCCCCCCCATTTAAAAAATTTCAAATCAAATGTATGGATGACTCGGTTGGACTCTAGGAGACTGTAGCTCTCAAATACAGGACTAGCAGGTCACTGAAAGGACCTAGTGTAGTTGGAAAACTCTTCAGAGAAGGTAAGATGAAAGCTGCAGGGCATATGTACTGTTTTGCTTTTGACTGCTGAGTACTTTGCTATGAAACATGTTACTTTTGGTGAACTTCATTCTCCATTCAGTGCAGGCTGACCCAAGCTTTGCCAGTGACATGAACAGGAGCAAGACGGGAAAGAAGTGGTATATTAAAATCAGAAGGGTCTATGGTGGTTGGAGGTAGGAAGGGGGTTTGCAAGACACAGGGAACAACAGAACACAAAGAAAGGGAATAGGGATGAAATGAGATAAATAGAAAGCAAGGCAAAGTGTATGGAAAGAACAAAATGAGAGATGGGAAAGTAAAGAACAAGCTGGAGGAAAGGGGATGCCTAGGAACAGCTTCATAACTGGGCAAAAGCATGTAGTGTTTTTTTTCCCAGAAGACTCTTCCGAGCTTCACCAACTCACAGATCAAAGACTTCCTGAGTCAGAGAATGTGTTGTATTTTACAGCCATTTTTTTAATGAATTCGTCTACTCTCTCCTTAAAAACTTTGGGCACCTGTGGCACTTCGTAGCCAAGTCCCACAATTTAACTTCATGCCACAACACTACCTACCCCTCTTTATTGTTTTGAACCTGTCGCCAGCTAGTTTCATCTGGAACCCCTACATTTTATATTGAAGAAATGGCAAAGTGAACGGTCCCTGTCTAACCTCTTCCATACCTTAAGATTTTATAGACTTCTAGCTAACTTTTTTAAGTGGGCCCTCAACTGTGTGCAGAGTTGAAGATGGAGGCACAGCATGAATATTAACGGTGGCATAATTATGTTCTCTTTCCCTATCCTACCCATTGCTGGCATAGTCCCGCAGGTTGGATTGTGAGATTTCAGCAGTGGTTGTTGTTACAAAGATCATCGCTGCATGGTGTGATGAAAATCTGTCTCAGGCCTTGCTGGCACAATGGTCACAGATAGATATCTATTGCTCAGACTGCTTTTTAGCCTTGGTCTGACGTGGAATTGGGAATCTAGCAAAAGGATTTTCAATTAAGCTGTATCAACTTCCTAGTGTCATATACGTAGTCGGATATTAGAAAGAAAGGGCCAGTCTTGGGACTTGAGGACTTTCAGAAATGTTTTCAAAGATGGTCTTGATTTGCTAGCCGTATCTGTATTGGATAACCCATCTGCCCATCCATGTATGGAAAACCTCCCGGTTCAGGACCTAAAAGTAGGTTTCATGGCTTCATTTCACACATTTGAAGTTTGGGAAAGTAACAGTACGATCTCACTGCACACACACAAGTTGGTCCCAAAACAACTACGAGCTGCCAATGTGATCACGAAAACAAGGCCCTGAGAGGTCTTGGGAGCAAAGTTCCTAGCAGAGTTTGGAAGGGATTAATACCATTGTCCTTGCTGCTGGCAAGATACCCTTAGGACCACTGCATGCCATTCTAGTCACCTATATCAAAGAGAAATAAATAATAATGAAACTGGAGCAGAAAGTCACTGCTGAGACAAGGGAAGAGTGGAAAGTTAGGGGAGCTCAGCTGGCTTAGCGTAGTCAGACGTTGGCTAAGAAGGACATTTCTGCCTGTAAGCCCACAAAGGGTAAAAAGGATAAAGGCTATGGAGTAGAGGCTATTTAAGGCCAACGCTGGCACAAGAATAAATGGATGCAAACCAGTCACAAATATATTTAGCAGGAAAATCAGAAGAAGGTTCTGGGAACAGCTTCCCGGTGGGAATAATGGTGGCAAAAGATCTTAAGATGAAACTTGATACATTTATAAAAGGAATTATGTAATATAGCATTTGCAAAGGCTGAAGGCTGCAGCAACCCAGGAAATCCCTCCACCTTATGTTCTAGTTTATTTTGAGCCCTTAAAGGCAAAGCGTAGCATTTCACCCTCCCATTCCTCTTCCTGCTCCAGCCATCTGCAGCCGGACTTCAGCATCTCTCTTAAAGGCTGTTTAAAGATCGAGCAAGACACTGATTTTATTGAGCACTTTTGCATTCCTTTTTGCTGTTCCTCAGAAAGGAAAAGGAAAGTTTTGTGAAGTATTGCCTAATTTATATACGCAAAAATAGATATTTAATAAATCTTCTCATACACACAGAGTACTACGTTTTACCTATTTTTTCCTACTTGCCAGACTTAACCAATTTCCCATAGCAGCCAACCAATACATAAGCAAGTGCTACTTTTCTCCAAGTTGCCCTGCTCAAACGTATCTGACAGCCATTCCCTGGGTAATGCAATTACTAAGCAAACCATGGAGAGATTTCCTGCTGGTGTTTCTGCAAGGGCCATCTTTACAGTGGTCTGATGGGTCTAGCAAGATACAAAGTCTCTTTGGCAAGGTGTCTTTCCCTGCCAGCCTCAAAAACATTTGAGGTGGACTTAGGAATTAAACCCAGGATCTGTTCTTTAGGGAGACACCTGCCTGGTTTATGTCATCTGCTTTTCATGGAGAGAAGGGAAAAAGGGGCGCATGGGTTCTCCTCTTCCCATCAGGCTGGTCCTTTCCATGGTGTCTCTTTTCTACTTGTATAGGAAGTGGTTTCATCTTCCTTTTGCTTCTGTCCCTTGCGGATTTTTTGAGATGTCCATCACCCCTTTGTAAAACAAACAACAGCCTTCTCGCTCCCTTTAAATAGGCTTCCTTTGAAGGTATGTTATTTTTGACCTCCGTGGCCTATCCCTCACATTACATACTGCCCAACAAGAGAACGACATGAAGGTAGTATTTTTGAGGAAGGCAGATTTACCAATTTATTTTGTCTGGTAACCCCGTTTCTTCGAATGTATTATCCGGCAAGCTCTCTCCTGATCCTTTAGCAGCTGGGGCAGATGCTGATCTCCAGCAGATTCCATTCCTGATGCTTTAAGAAGTCATACATTCCAAGCTGCCTTAAAATTTTGTTTTGTGTTACCTCAATAGGCTAGTATTTCACCTATCTGCACTCAAAAGGAAAAAAAACCACACAACCCTCCCACCCCCACCCCCAAACATGCCCTACCAAACTATGAGAAAGATGGAAACCGGTAACTGAGACTGCAGCCAGAGTTCATATTCAGCAGCTCAGGCTGCGATGGGCTACCTGATGGCCATTTTCCTGCAAATCATTAACACCGGCAATTCCCAAAGACTTACAGGAGTTTTCAGCATAAAGCATGAAGAACGTTGTACAATGGGAGTTATTTGCTGAAGCTTTAAAGGAATTTAAAGGCCGATTTGGAGATCTAGAGACAGCGCTTTCGATAATCGTGATCAATGGGGGAAGGAGCGGGACAGAAAACTCCACGAAAACGGGACGGCCACGACCGGTGAGGCAGCCCGGCGTGACCCAGGGGCCCACTTCCACGTCCCTACCCCCGCGCTCGGTTGCCGGTGGCCCCGGCAGGCACCGAGGGCAGCAGGTAGCGCTCCCCCCCCCCCCCGGGCCCCGGGCGGCTGCAGGGGGCAGTAGGTGCTCACGTACCGCGGCGGGCGAAGGGAGGGCAGCGGCTCCCAGCCAGCCCGGCTCACTCAGCTTTACGCTAAACCGCACAACGGTGGCGCCGGAGCGGAGGGGGGGGGGGCAGGATGAGGCCCCTGGAGATGGGCTGACACCCCCCGCCCCTTCCCCGCGGGGCTCGGGGCCGCACCGTGTCCTTTACGCACCCCCCCCCCCCCCCCCGGTTCAAAAAGCCAGGGCCCCCTGCCAGGCCCGGGAACCTGACCGGGGGGCGGCCGCTGTGGCACCCACCCGCGCTACAGGGCGGCCTGGCTGG